CCCAATGGACCTTGTGGAAATAAATGGATTAGTCCATCAAATTGCTCATCAAAATTTAGCTGTGTATACCAAATTTCATTCATTTATCACAACGCGATTGAGAGATATTGCAAAAAAATGATTTCCATTCCTCCCTCTTCAATGGGTCCCTGTGCCCTTAGGAAGCATTTCCGGACCCACGTTCATATGAACTTTTTTACTTAGTTTTGATCATAGAATCGGCCTGTTCAGGGTTGGCAGCTAATTATGAGACACCCTGTATAGTTATTAATTTGTTTACACTATAATTTAACAAAGTTGATAAAATAATTATTTCTTACCTCTCAAGTCCTTGTTGAGAGCAGTGAGGAGAGGCCATTTTTCGCCACACAACCCTTTGAAGTCATCTAGATCCGCAGCGAAAACATACACACCTGCGAGATCCTGCACTTTGACGTACTCGACCTGAAACAAAAACGCTTTAAATTACCTCCACAAAGAAATTTGAAAGTGCTGTACCAAAACGTAAATATAAACCCACAGTACCATTTTCACTCGAGTAGTGTTTAACATTCAAATTTAGATGGTAGTTGGTTATGGTAATGACAATATTTGAGATGCAAACAGAAAAATATTCACGATCAAGGTAAACGCAGATTATTTGTGAAATATAACCTTTATTATTTGTTTTTGTTGTAGCAGCTTTAGGTATTCCGCAGGTGATAAAAAATTGATTAACTAGTGAGAAATCAGGTATTTTAAGTGTCTTGTTGGAGCCATCTTGGTGTCGTGTTGAAAGGTTAACTTTGAGTAAATTAAATGATAAAATATCGTTCGGGAAAAATCGAAATTTAAAATTTACTTCCCCTGCTCTATACGCCACTGGGTCAAGAGCGAACTATTTATTTATTATATTTTTCAGTGTATAACGAATATTGTGTGGCATACAATGTATTTTTTTTATATTCATGTTTTCGTTGATTTCTCTACGAATATTACTGGTGGATACAATTGACAACTCCAAATGCTTTTTATCATTATAGTCCGGTCAAATTAGTTACTTACAAAATAAAAATAGTGGTCAAAAAACAAAAAACCGCCCCGAAGTACACTACCTCACAGGTGGTGTGGAAATGTGTGCATATCATGTAGAACGTGACTCCTTCAACTATTAGAATCGCGATATCTCAGGAATAGTGATTCTTAGAAAAAAAAGTATAAAGACCTTTTTTGTAGATAATTTTAAGATCTATAATATTTGTCGGAGATATTTTTTTGATAAAACTTACCGTTTTCGAAAAAAAATCCAAAAAACCCCAAATTTTGACCTTTGACCCCGAATAACTTTTTAGCACACATGGGATAGATGGGGACTTTTGACACTTTATTTCTAATGGTGTACCCAAGGCCTCCACCAAAATTTAGCTCTGTCGGGATTTTTGTTATTTGAAATGTCTATTTTGACTGGACTATTATTATTAAATAACTTTTTTATAATTACATTGAAATTATTATTACTTAATTAATTTTGATATAACTCATAATTAAAAATTGCCTTCAAATTTAATTATAAATTCATTGAAGCAAATCTCTAGGCATCTACAGGCATGGGCGTCGTTAACTAGGAATTCAAAGGGGCCCTACGGTACTGAGGTTGTAAATGACAGGCTGCATTTACTGTTATTAATTTAATTTAACTATTTTAGAATTTGCTGTTTCTTTAATGGTACACCCTGTATATTATTCCATATTTAAATTCTTTTCGAAATTCTAAACAAAATTCATAAAGCACATCATGTACCTAAACTTAACCGTTTTCGAGATAACGAACTTTGAAAATCATTTTCTTATAAATTATACAAAAATATCTGTCAATTAAGTTTATAGTTCATCAAGTTACCTTTGAAAGTTTCTAGCTCCATAACAACGCCGCGTCGTTCTTTTGTCTAATAGTGATTATCTTGACAACACATGTCAAAAATATATTTAATGTGAAGAATTTTCTAGAAACGTTTCAGTAAAACCGAGCGTATTGAAGTTTTAATGATCATAGGATATGCCGATAGACGACGAAGTTGTGACTAAGTAGTGGACATTTTTCATAAATTGCATCTCGATCTGGATCTGGATCGGGAACGTATTTCTAAATCAACCGTTTCAAAAACAGTGCAGCGTTTTTATGAAACTGGAGGTGTTACAGACCGACGAAAAAGTGGAAAATCAGGAAGCGTTACAATTTACAAATTAAGAAAATTATTGAATAACGTGATGTGGTGGAAAATTCAATAAACTCGACACAACAGAGAGCTTTAAATCATAACAATTTGCAAACGGAAAAAATTACGTCCATATAAAATTCATTTGTTACAAGAATTGAGTGAAGACGATTATAATCGCAGAACAGAGTTCTGTGAAGTTGTTATCCATAAATTAAACGAAAATGTCTATTTTGTCACCCACATATTGTTTTCTGACGAATCTACATTTTGCTTAAACGCGCACGTAAACCGACACAACTGTAGGTATTGGTCAGACCAAAATCAACATTGGATGGAGGAACTTCACATCCAACGACCACAGAAAGTAAACGTTTGGTGTGGCATTATTAGTGGACACGTCATAGAACTCTATTTTATAAACGGAAATTTGACCTACAGTCCGTAGGACATTTGTCGCGATAGAATTCCACGAAGACCACTGCGTCACTTTATTTGAATTAACCGCATTCGACACCCGACGTAGAAAGAGATTGACAGCTTGACGTTCACCGTACCAGCTTGCAGTGCATATAGACCGATCGAAATAACTCATTTAGAAGGGAAAACAAAAGAAAATTGTTACCTGGAGTTTTATAAGTGGAAATGGTAAAGGGGTTTATAATAAATGAAAAAAAAAATAAATGCGTGAGCAGGAAGGGGGTTGATTTGGGGGGTTGAAAAGTTGTGCAAAATTGTATCATTGGGATTTCTGACGCCAGTAGACGTCAAACAAAAAAGTATCCAATACAAAAGTTATAGATCATGCAAAAATCTACAACTTTTGTAGAGGTCACTTTTTAAGATAACCTCAAAATTTCCGAGAAAAATGCTAAAAACAGGTTTCTCATTTCCGCAAAAATAATTTCATTTTGACGAAACTTGGTGAAAGTTTCTGTGTCTTAAATAACCACACATTTTTTTAGTTAAAAAGAAAACCAGAAGTTTCCGAAATTATCATTTTTTCCGGTCTGGAACACTTTTTTCAAAGAAAAATTCTACTTAGAAAA